CTTCTGGGCTCAAGTGATCCTCCTGCCTCAGCCTCCTGAGCAGCTGGGACTACAGGCGCCTGCCACCATACCTGGCTAATTTTTCTATTTTTGGTAGGGACAGGGTCTCGCTATGTTGCTCTGGTTGGTCTTGAACACCTGGCCTCAAGCGATCCTCCCACCTTGGCCTCCCAAAGTGTTAGAATATATGCATGAGCCACCATGCCCAGCCCCAATTCACTTTCAAACAGGCTCTGAGGCCTGGGTAAAGCAGACTGTAAGAGGTCCTGCTTTGGACTGAAATCCCCCCCTCCACAGCCACCCAGACCCCACTGCAGTCACCAGCGGGGACAAGCTCAGCACCTCTGCTAGAGCCAGGGGCTCACTTCCTGGCAAAGTGCTTTCTTATTTTGGGTTCACAAAGGCCTCCTTGCAATGTGCATTCTGCTATCTGTTCTGCTCCCTAGGGCTGCCTAGGGAGTCGGCTTCCTCTTTGAGAGTCTGGCTTAGACACAAAGAAAAGTCTTAGGCAATCTCCTGCCCCCTTCTCCATTTCCCTAAACTCAACCCATCTAATCTAGTCCTTCTGTTTGCTTCTCCTCACCATGTGATTTCCCTTCCCTGGGGACACCAGATAGGCCCAGATGCCGTGCTTGTCCTCTGACTTCCCACAGTCACAAGGATGCTTTAACTCTTATCACCCCAAATATCGCTTGTGGCCCCGCTGCCGCACCACTCAGCAAGAACTGCCTGTGGGGAAACCTCAGCTCTGCCTGGCTTTTGGTCTTTCAAAGTTCCCAAAGACCTGTTCAAAAATAGCTGTTAGACTGCCCTTCTCCTCGACTGGCAAGGACACCTGAGTTCCACTCACGGGATGGAGTCACCTGGACGCGCCTGCGCACTGTCAGAACATCCAAGGCCCATCCTTCACTTCACTGCCCTGAAGAGCAACAATTTCCTCCCATTTAAAAGTGGGCCCGGCCGGCGCGGTGGCTCACACCTGTAATCCCAGCTCTCTGGGAGGCCGAGGCGGGCGGATTGTTTGAGCTCAGGAGTTCCAGACCAGCCTGAGCAAGAGCGAGACCCCGTCTCTACTAAAAATAGAAAGAAATTAATTGGATAACTAAAAATATATAGAAAAAACAAAAAATTAGCTGGGCATGGTGGTGCATGCCTGTGGTCCCAGCTACTCGGGAGGCTGAGGCAGAAGGATCGCTTGAGCCCAGGAGTTTGAGGTTACTGTGAGCTAGGCTGACGCCACGGCACTCACTCTAGCCCTGGCAAAAGAGTGAGACTCTGTCTCAAAAAAAAATAAAAAATAAAAAATAAAATAAATAAAAGTGGGCCCGAGCTGTCTAAGGGTCCCATGGCAAATCAGCAGTTAAACAAAAACCGTAAAACAAAGTTTGAGCTCTCTGATGTATTCCTTATTTTTGAGCCAGTCTTATCTGAGACGGACCAGAAGAGACAGTGCTTCAGAAACATCCCTGCCTCTGCTCGGTGCTAGTGACCCACGGAAGCAGCTGCCACGCAGCTCACTTACCGGCCAGGAGCTGCTGGGGACGGTTCCTGCAGCAATGGTAATTTCTGCACACGCACATACATAAAGGTTGTTTTTTTCCCCTCGATGACGGTTTATTTTTTATTTTTATTTTTGAGACAGAGTCTCTTTATCTGTCACCCTAGCTAGAGTGCAGTGGCATCATCGTTGCTCACTGCAACCTCAAAGTCCTGACCTCAAGCGATCCAAGCCCCCCTGCCTCCCGGAGTGCTAGGATTACAAGTGTGAGCCAGGGCACCTGGCCCAAAGGTTTTTCTTTCAAATATCCTCATTGTGTAGGGTTTTGGAGAAACATATGCTGTGAAAATGATCACGGTTGTGCTCCTAAAAGTCAGTCATGGTTCCTGAACAGTGTTCTGCAAGCCTTCACTTTCAGAAATGAAAGGGTGGCCTGCGAGCCAGGCACGTCACTTACTTGTGGGAACGTGGTTTTGGTTCTTCCGAAAAGAGGGAAGTCAGCACTCACTAGAACATTGACATTATTTTCAGGATTAAGAAAATACTCTGCTTGTTGGGTAAATAAAACCAGTAGCACAGCCCCACCAGGTGCCTCACCTCACCTCTGAGAGATTCCAGGGGAGTGGCTGAGGAAAAAATGTAGCATTGTCTCTGAATCTCATAATTTTCAATTATTCTAGAATATTCCTTTTCAAAATTCATTGTATGCAGAATTAAAAAACCATATTCCGAGAGCATAGATGAAAGGGCATGGACCCCTTAGTAATGGATGAGTTTTCACGTTTTGACCGTGGTAAAGGCAATACCACCTGTGTTGTCACTAAAATCGAACCAACGTCTATTAGTAATATAGCTTTTTAAATAGAACCAACTCAGCAAACTTCCCATGGATGAATACTGGTCTTAGAGTCACACTTATTCCTCATTTGATCAATTAAAATGCAACCACTGCTTGTGATAAATAAGCAATTCAAAAATAATAGGCCGCTGGCCGGGCGCGGTGGCTCACGCCTGTAATCCAAGGCGGGCGGATTGTTTGAGCTCAGGAGTTCCAGACCAGCCTGAGCAAGAGCGAGACCCCGTCTCTACTAAAAATAGAAAGAAATTAATTGGATAACTAAAAATATATAGAAAAAACAAAAAATTAGCTGGGCATGGTGGTGCATGCCTGTGGTCCCAGCTACTCGGGAGGCTGAGGCAGAAGGATCGCTTGAGCCCAGGAGTTTGAGGTTACTGTGAGCTAGGCTGACGCCACGGCACTCACTCTAGCCCTGGCAACAGAGTGAGACTCTGTCTCAAAAAAAAAACAAAAAAACAAAACACCTATGTGAGCAAGAGTAGCGACTGCATTGGGACATGTGGTGACCTACTTTCTCTTTAACTTCTAGTATTCAATTTGACCTTGAGAACGCAAAGATGGAAAACAATTCAAAATGAGTCCCAGGTGTAAAGATAAGAAGTCGAGGCAGCGCTCTGCCTAGCAGCGCTCTGCTCCATCTCTGCAAACTTCCACAGGGTAACAACGTGCAGAAACCTGGCGTGATGAGTGTCCTTCTGGGGTAGGAATCACAAGAAAGCAAATCACCCAGTCATGGATTGCACAGAACAGCTCGGAAGCACCTGCCTAGAGAAGGAAGTACTTTATGGCAGAATGTCCTCCTTGGCTCTCTGCCCAGCAGAACAGATGACGACAAAGACCCCAAAGGGGGAACAGTGTGTATGTGGACCTCCTCTGAGAGGCTCCCAGGTATGTGGAGAGATACCCACTTCTCTCGTTCCGGTTGGTTTCGTGGTGCTTTAATGGGATATAAAAAACAGCTAGGCCCAGGCAAAAACGCTGGAAAAGTTCCCACCTGGCCTATGGCAGTACACACTGAGCTGTTAGAGGTCTTCATTCTGAAAGGCACTGGATTTGGAGAGGGAAGGAGGGGAAGACTAATTTATTTTTTAAAAATAAAGTAGGGTTGAAATTCCCAGCAAGGTGGAATGAGGTCAAAGGTCAGGCAGCCTGCCTGCATGCAACAGGGACAGCACGGACCCTGGCCAACTAAGTTGCTGCTGAGGGGCCTGGGGGCACGTTCCTCCCACCTCTCGCTGCTTTGATGGCTCTGCCTCTTCTCCCCGGGGCCTCTCCCCATGTGTGGCCAGGGCTCGGGCCTGGTACTCTCCCCTCGAGGCTGAGCTCCTCTGCCTCACAGCTTTCAACAGAACTTTCTCCCCACTGAGGGCTCCTTGGGGTCTCTCCCCGCTCTTGGTTTTTTGTCCAGCTGCACACTCGACATCTAGAGGCACCAAGACTCAGCCCATCCGAGTCTGCTCTCCTCATCTTCCCCTTTGGCCCTCAAATGTCTCCCCAGCAACCTTCCCCATCTCCCCAGCAATCCCCACCTTGCTACAGCTCAGACCAAAAACCATCAAGTCACCATCGGCTCTTCTCTTTCTCACTCACGCCATATCCACCCAAGGGCAAATGCAGTTGCCCTTTTATTTAAAAACATACCCAGAATCCACACAATGGATGTGTCCCAAACAATCAGAACACCGCCCTGCCCATGGGAGACAGCAACACCTAGGACTGAACCAGTGGTTGTCTGTCCAGACTTTTGTGCTCTGATCAACAAATCCAGAACCTGGAACAGCACGCCAATCAATGTGACCATTTTCCCGTGAGAATGAAGCACTAAACTGCGTGGTAAGTCCACTACCCCTTGACACAGCCACGTAGGTGCTGGGGAAAAGCTGCAGTCTGATTCATGTGCTGAATCACAAGGGAGGAGAGAGGAAAATTACATACTTCATGAAGCCGCAGCCCAGAACTGTCAGGGGCTGGCCCTCCTCCACACGTGGTGCACTGTAGCTCCCGTGGGCTAAGCTGCCAGCCGCTCCCAATGCCCCTTCTTCTCGGGTCACCAGGAGAGCCATCTTCTCCCTTTACTGCCTTCAGGGGAAAAAAGATGCTAGTAATCATAGATGTTGGGACTCAAGCCTTCATATGCTTCCTTTGCTTTTGTTCAACTCGGTGACGGAGGCACACACGCGTATTTTCAGTGACTGCCTTAATCTGGGTCTTAAATACAGTATTAGGAGACAATGCAAGATTTACTGAGAAAAAGTGAATTTTTAATTATCTTGTGAATCTACTTAGAAAAACACACACAAGCAATGTTCACAACTATAAATTTAAACCTTTTGCACTAAAAAAACACAAAACAACAAACACAAAACCACAGGCATGAACTGTAAACCTGTATTAATTATCAACTAGTCTTAAGGTTAATTCTTAGCAGTAATTCAGTATTTTCCTTGTTGGCAATTATAATGTTCTAGCACCAGACGATCTCCCAGAGGTACTAGTGACGGCTCTGGCTGCCAGCGCAGGGAGATGCTTCCACACACACCACTTCACACACGCAGTCCCCTTACACCCCCCAGGGAGGAGGCACCTGGAGATGGGGCCACAGGCGGACTTTCAGGGCAACGGAAACAGGACGGGGCACGGGCCGCACCTCTCTCACGTAGTGCACTCGTAGAAAAAAGGCCAGCTCTCGCTCCTGGGCGTGCTCTCGTCCTCAGACTTTAATACCATGATTTAGAAGATGCAGACGTTATTGCCTAAATATTATTCTATACATTTCCATCAGTGTTCAGGAAAAAACTTTAATTGCTACTCAATTTACACCACAATTACTGGGTTACAGCTTTAGCTCATTGGCAATTTTGGATGCAATGTTTTTGAAGGCTATGGATGTCCCTGATATCCTCTTAAACCGGACCCCGTTCAGAGACAGTCTTGGCAGCTTGCAGACCTCCATCTCCCACTGCACGAGGCTCTCCGCGTGCCCGTCGCCATGGACGCAGAAGAGCAAGAAGCGCTCCCGCTGCTCGTAGTCACAGTTATTGGCATCCAGCACTTTGCGGATTTCCCGCATCATGTCGCCAGGATCCATGGAACTAGTGGTTTTCATGCTCCAGGTGAAACGCAGGGAGCGAGGTTTTGCTTCTTTGTTCTCGTCCTTTTGCTCAGCAGATACGTTGCGACTGAAACGCACAGTGGCAGGTTTATTTTTAATTGCACCGGAAAGTCAATCTTTTCTACTTCATCTAGTTCATAATCCACCTTTTCAATATGACTAACCACCAACCTCCACATTTTTCCTGCAGACTCACATGTGTAACCTGTTCCTTTACTAAGAAGTTTATTTTCATCTCTTTTCAATACCCCCCTCCCCCCATCATAACCCACACACCCAAAAAATCTACCTGGCTGGAAAATCTTCACTAGCCACCTGTACTTACTAAACTAAGAAAATAACTGTGGAGCAGAATCCTTGGCAATCAGGCAAAGCCAAGAGAGAGCCCCACACCTCTGCTCAGGCTCCACAGGCCCAGCTCGGGAGGGAGTTGCGGACGACCTGCTGCCTCTCCTCCTGTCCCGCCACACTGCTCCTTCCACCGAGACCACCGTGACTGGTACTCTTGGGATGATGGGGACTCAACATCCACCAGATGCTGAGCACCATTGGGTGGTGGGGGGGGCATTTTCTTAGTCACCTCTACACACCTCATTGTTTTTCCTTCTATTTTGTTGATTTAAACTTCCAATTTCATAGTTAAACAGAATCTTAGACGACATCATCTTACACTGAAATAGATAGAAAAATGAAATGTTCTAAGACAGCTCGTTTGTCTGCAGGGACTGAACTGTCTGCGCCACGTGGACTCAGAGTCTGGGCCTGGGTGCTGCCGCCCTGGAGGCATGTGCAGGGCTGGGTCTCCAGGGAACCCCACAGCTCACCCGCCATTCCTTAGCACTCAGGCGTTATCGCTGCAAATCATTATTTACATCCTCCTGTGTGTATCTGGAGGCTTCAATTAAGACAGTGAGTGCTGAACCTCTTGGGCAGTAACAACACTATTATATGTATGTTAAATATACTCCACCCTATGGCGCATTCGTCAGAGCTGAGAGACACAGGTTTTACCTACGCACATGGCTCTCCCTGTCACCAACCTGCTAGGAGAATATTCAGTTTAGTTTACACCCATCAAAATCGATTAGAAGCTTCCTCTGTGTAAAGTGCTGTGTTAGATACTAAAGAGGTTACAAAAATGAGCAAAAGCTCTCAAACTAATTTGGGGCCAGGAAGACTGTGAAGTAAGGCAACGGCAGCAGCGCAGGAAAGATGCGGCAGTGCCTGGAGGGTCACGGCAGAGGAGGGGGAGCCCACATGGGAGGACTGAGGGTGGAAGGCAGGGTGGGACCATGAGGAAATGGCTTCGGGGTGGGAGGGATCAGAGAAGACAGATGAAGAGCCCATGGGATTTCACAAAATACAACAGACGGGGGAGGAGAGTTTGTGTTGAGCAGAGGGGATCGTAAGGATGCAGGAGAGTATGAAATATGTTTAGGGGCACAATAAGTGCACAGACTGACTGGAACTGGGGGCACAGTGACGTCACCCATGACAGTGTTTACTGAGCACTTGCGGTGGCCCGGCCCAGGACTACTTGATATCAGCAGGTAGGCCCCACTGTCACCTCCCTATTATGGATGGGGAAACGAACTAGGTCAGTTCGAGCCTGTTCTAACCTGGGCTGGGCACTCACTCCAACTCTGCCTCGATGGGGCGGAGGAGCCAGGGCTGTGGAGGCGGCCTGTGTCATGCCACAAACGGCCTCACGGGGACCCAGTTGGTTATGTAGTGGGGGCCACTGAAGGGGTTCAGAAAAGCCGTATGACCAGAGCTGTGCTTTAGAAAGCCCAGGAAGAGAGCAAATGGGTTAGAGTGGGCCTGAAATAGCCTGGTGGGGACTGGCGTAAGAAAGGGCACAAGTAGAAGACACCTAGGACCAGGGACACAGAGTCCTAAGCCTATCCGGTGACACCTCCCTCATATCCTATGCAATGACAGCTATACAAAACTGAAAAGCAAAACACTTGACTATATAATCATCATTCTTAGAAGAAAACATTTCTACTTTGAAATATGAAAAATTTATTAAGTGTTTTGCTTTTATTCCTTGAGCCAGGCAAGGAGTCAGCGAGAGTTGAGGGCCTATCCTATGAGCACTGCTACTGACCCCCAGAGCTCCATGTCCCAGCTGGGCCGTTGACCCCTGGGCACTTGGTGCACAGAGGTAAAGCCCGGCCACGCTGGGATCAGTGAGGCTTGTGTGGCACACTGACGCCCTCAGGTGGCCACCAGGTGCAGCGCAGCCTTCTCGCCTCGGCCAGCAGCAGCAGGGCCCACCTCACCCAGCACCTACGCGGCAGAAGCAGGAATACGGTGCAGAACATTCAGAAATGAGTAAAAATCATTTCCCTCACCTTGAGCCCTCATATCTCCCGTTCCTCTCATATTCAGTTGGAAGCCTCAATGAACAGAATGTAGAAGCAAAGAGAAGTGGGAAAGAGAAGAGAAATCTTACATACCAGTACACAACCACCCACATACCAACACAAGCATCGTGAGCAAACCTAAAGCTCCTCTCTGTCACCAGGGCTTATTAAGGTGTTTCCTCTCAGTCTGACTCTCCCACGGCCGGCCGCGTACAGGGGCGGCCTGCACCCCCGCTGGGCTCCTCAGTCTGAGCACCTTCACAGCCTGGCACTGGCACTGTCCTCACTTTTTAGCCACTCCCCACAGAAGAATGGGCTTCCAATGAAAAGGCAGTGAGACCTCAGTTGAAGTCTACATTCAACTATAATACTGTCTAAGGAAAAAAGTGACAACTGGGAAGATCAGTTAAAAAATACAAAATAATCATGGACGGTATCTGCGGCAGGAAGGACCCCCCTGCCCCCAACCCCCAGTTCCTGGTAAAGAGCTCAGGTTAACAGAGCCTGGCAGCCGTCCATCGGTCTAATAAGTATAAAAATTCGCAGCCTGGGCTTCCAGTGACTTGAGAGGCACAGGCACAAGAGTGGCCCTTAATGGCAGATGTCCTGCCTCATATACGTGTGCATTCTAAGACAGGAAAATTTTGGGTCTCTTGATTGTCACCATCAAAAAATATTAATCAAATCAGAATACCATTTACTGCAGTGCTTTAAATAAAAATAATGAGACATGCTTTCTTCAGTGGTTAGTGGCAAGTGGCTTTTGGACAGAATTCTATTTACTCTTCAGCTCTCCTGAAATACGAAAACATTCTGCTATGCTGCTGCTCACATCTTAATTTCTGAAAAAGCCAAACCAAATGAGGCTGTGGGTTTGGATTTTATGCTTGTTTCCAGTATCAGAGTATTTGCTAATTTCCCCGTAATTTTCAAGCCTTTTACTAATTCTATTCCCAGGGAAATAAAAATGAAGATGAACACAATTACCACTTACCTTTGACATGCTTGTCGCTAATCATTAATTGTATATTAACATTACTGAATGTCTCATTCTTCCAATAGGAGCATGCTAAGTGTTATTAGTATGAAGACAGAATTATTTGGATGCTAAATAATTCTACCAAAGGAAGAAAATGCACAGAGCATGCACAGGCCTTTTGCTGCAAGAGCATGTCCCTTTGAAATGCCTGACAGAGTTAATCTATTTCTTTCCAGTTTCCTCTCAAGGAAATAAGTATTTAGTTCTCGGCAGAAAGTTTAGTTTTTAAGAAAAAAACAAGGCCAGAAAGCCAAACCTTATGTTAATTGCAGAGGCCATGTGGGGGTGAGGATTGAAAAATAAATGTGTTTATATAAATCCTACCTTTTGATAAACCTGAATGACATGTTTCTAAAAGAAATTAAGTAAAAAAAAAAAAAAATTAACAGAAACAACTTGCACAAATTAAACAGAAAATCTAATCAATTATATATAGAGAAAGAAAAAACCCAAATTAAACAGGGCTCTTCTTCTGGCCAATAAACAATAAAATGGTGATATTTGTTGAAAAAGTAAAATTATTACAGATAATTAAATGAGCACGTAATCTTTTAATTAGAAATATTAAAAAATCTATACTTGTAAGAATAAGTTCAACAATAAATATTGACATCAGATGTAATTAAATCTATTTAAAGTTCTTCAGGTGGATACACTTTTAAGACAAAGCTTAATGTCTTGTTAAAGAAATGACAAATCATGTGCAATGTACTAGTGATAAAACACTTTCTCAATTTTTTTCAGAATATCTCATGAACAAACATCTTGCCTTCTTATACATAAACATAAAAAATTTTCATTATAAAATATTTAACCATTAAGATCATTATTTCTTTCAGGAAGATAATTTAAACATCAACAGGATATTTATTACAATGATATGATATAAATGACTTTAAGAAAAATAGGTTATTGGGTTTAAACTGAAGTAGATATTCCAGTTTTAGATCTCAAAATAAATAAAAATTAAGTAACAAGGTAACAGTATGGATTTTATTTTTATGTAATAAACTGGAAGAACTGTATTTAGAAAGGGTAGAGACTTTGGTCACTAAAAAAATTTAAGGAGATGCACAGGCTGTGCCGAATACGATCTGACAAAAGATTTTTCCAACTATGGATCAAATTTTTATTTTTTTAATTTTTAATTTTTTTGAGACAGTCTTGCTCTGTTTCCTGGACTAGAGTGCCGTGGTGTCAGCCTAGCTCACAGCAACCTCAAACTCCTGGGCTCAAGCGATCCTCCTACCTCGACCTCCCGAGTAGCTGGGACTACAGGCGTACATCACCATCCCCAGCTAATTTTTTATATTTTTAGTTGCCCAGCTAATTTCTATTTTTAGTAGAGACGGAGGTCTCAAGTGATCCTCCCACCTCGGCCTCGAGTGCTAGGATTATAGGCGTGAGCTACTGCACCTGGCTTGGATCAGATTTTTATGATCATGTGATCAGCTTCCCTGGGCAAGTACAGGACAGGCTTGTTAACTTCTATTTGTAAAGGCCAGTTCTGTAACTGGACACAATAGGCAATGATGTATATCTGCTGAATGACTGAATTAATGAAATCCTTGGATTTTTACTAATCTTGGATAACTGGCATTGCTCCAGATATTAACTAATTAAAAAAAGTCTAATTATTGTAAATAACTGCCAACCACTTCATAATCAGATCAGAAATGGTACACAGCAGGGTATCTACTGTAAAGAGGACCACCCATGTGAGAATATTTTATAAATAAATACTATATAAATATAAGGTGGTATTATTCCAAAGATTATTTTAGTTGAAAAATGACTAAAAAATCTTTAAAATATATTTTCATTTCCTAATTTTGTACCCGGGAAAAGTCATGGTTACTGGTCAAATACTATAGGATGAATTTTCTTAACCTTTCTTGCCATGAATCCCGTGAGGTATGAAGAGGAAGGAGGATGCTGTAGGATGGAGGCCTCTGCACTCTGCACTTTGGCCCAGGCCACGTGGGCGAATCTGAGCAGGCCAGGTCTGGCCGCAGGAGGGGAGAGTTTCGCTCCTTACTACAAAGGGTTCACAGCTCTCCAAAGCCCTGTGCTGTCCACGCAGAGTGTAGGTCTTCTGACACCAGCCCTCCTCACCTAGCCAGGCCCTGTCTCCCTTGCAGCACCTAAGTGCAAATACCCTAGTCTCTCAGGCACTGCAACTTTAATCCTGGCAATTATTGCTAAGGGAGGACAAGAAGCTTCAACCACTGCAGCAAGGACCCTGGTTGTTTTTAGGCGCGAGCTGCCTGTAACCGAAGGATGACTAAGGGAGGTGACATGCTTCAGTTTGTAAGCCTTAACAAGACAAGAAAAAAGATATCTACAAAAACTGAGGGGTAGAAATACCTGGAAATTTGGAAGTTGTAGAATAAAACAATCACCTAGCTTTTTTTTTTTTGAGATAGGATCTCACTCTGTTGCCTCGGCTGGAGTGTACAGTGGCACCATCATAGCTCACTGCAATCTCAAACTCCTGGGCTCAAGTGATCCTCCTGCCTCAGCCTCCCGAGTAGCTGGGACTACAGACATGTGCCACCATACCTGGCTAATATTTCTATTTTTAGTAGAGACGGGGTCTCATTATTGCCCAGGCTGGTCTCAAACTCCTGGACTCAAGCAATCCTTCCACCTCAGCCTCCTAAAGTGCTAGGATTACAAGCATGAGCCACTGTGCCTGGCCAGCCACCTAGAATTTTTTAATCAAGAAATCCGTCTCCAGGCCGGGCGCGGTGGCTCATGCCTGTAATTCTAGCACTCTGGGAGGCCGAGGCGGGTGGATCGCTCAAGGTCAGGAGTTCGAGACCAGCCTGAGTAAGAGCGAGACCCCGTCTCTACTAAAAATAGAAAGAAATTATCTGGACAACTAAAAATATATATATAGAAAAAACTAGCTGGGTGTGGTGGCACGTGCCTGTAGTCCCAGCTACTTCGGAGGCTGAGAGGCAGGAGGATTGCTTGAGCCCAGGAGTTTGAGGTTGCTGTGAGCTAGGCTGATGCCACGGCACTCTAGCCAGGGAAACAGAGTCAGACTCTGTCTCAAAAAAAAAAAAAAAAAGAATTTCAATTCAAATACATGTAATAAATGTAATTAGGAAATAAGAGAAAAGGATTCAGGCCTATACCAGTCCTTCACTGAGTTTTCTAAGGGGGCACAAGTATAGTGGCTTTAAGGGCCTCCTCTGATCACAGACTTGGCTCTGCCTCTTTTTTGCTGTAGGATCTTAAACATGTACCTCTTTGAACCTCATCTTCAGTGTCTTCTATGACATGGAGAATAAATATCTACTCCACAGGGTGTACTGTGGAGATGCAGTGAGTGTGTATATATTATAAATATATACCCATAAAAATTTGTGTGTATATATGTGTGTATATAACACACATTTATATGTATATAAAATGAGTATATCTATATATCTATAGACATCTATCTACTTTAGGACACAATAAGGCACTCCAACAATGGTGGCTGATATTTTTATCAACGATGGTCTTAAGAAGACCAAAAAAGGAGCATAAAGGAGACCATTAAATAAACTCAAGGATTTTAACGATGTGCAAGATTTTATTTAAAGAGCCCATTACAGAACAAAATGCACGGACACGAAGCTGCCTTTCTGAACTTAGGCCAACCTGGAGGGCTGCACATCCCTCTGTGCTTGGGCTCAGAGGGGAAACCCCTGTTGATATTAAGCAGGGACAGAAGGTGAACGGCCACATAAATGGCTCTACCTTCTACCACCCAAGCAGAGGCAGATTTCACTTTAGCCCAGTCCCTGTGGAAGAAGCCAGAGGACAAGGAGGCCTTGGACAGGCCATGGGGAGACCCTGAAAGGAAGGATTTATTGTGGGGGGTCAATAGACTCTTTTTGGATTGAACTTACTGTCTCTCTTGCTGGTCATGAACCCAGCCCCAATACTGGCAAGGCCCTTTAGACCATTCTGTTCTGCCCAATTGGAAATGGGTGTCTTAGTAGAGGGGCGGAGGAGAGAACAAGAACACTAAAACCTTTTGATTTGTCTGACTTCTAGTTAATGCTAATGGATATCAGAATCCTCCCATATCTACTATTTGATATCCTAACAATAAACAGATCAGACTATTTAATGAGACTCGCCTAAGTTTTAGATGATTAATCTGGAGAAATTAAGGAGACTGAAAAGTGACATGTGGCTTACAGTTTAAATAATGGCAACAGCTGATACTGAGCAGGGTGCTAACAGACCATGGAGATCACAGAGAAACAGAGGAGGGGGGCACTGATGATCGCAGACCTGGGAACACTCCTATGCTGTCCTGTAAGACACAAGTGACAGACAAGAGAGGCCCTACCAGGCAAACCTGCAAGAAACCTCATATAGACCAATCCACAGCCAGGCTTAATTTCAAATAATTCCTTCAGGGGACTCCTAAAACTGCAGGGGCTCTTGGGTTTCTGGGACTTGTTCCTGGATAAAGAAGCCTTTCATGATATTGTTGGGGTTGAAAGTGGCATCCTTTCTTTTTCCCCTGGAAGCAACCAATATTTCTAGGCTTTTGCAACATGTACACTAGATCATGGAAATGAACTGAAAATTACCTCAAAGGACCCGTAGTTTCCCAAGGCCCAAAATGACAGCCTAACTAGACACATGAAGCATTTTATACATAACCTGATATTATTGTTATTTTTTTCTTTCTTATGTCCTGGATGTGCTAAGATGATATATTTATTTTTTGAGAATAAACCAGGGGTTTTATCTCTAAAATTATACCTTTGAAGAAAGTTATCCTGGTCTCATACTATGAGAGAGAACAATTTCAAGATGTGGACTTTTAGAAACTTAGTGCTCCTTAATGACAATGAAGTGAGAAGAGAGGAAATGTCCCTCTCCTTCATGTCTAGGGATTGCTATACAACGGCCGCATTATCTTCCTTGGTTATTGCTATGGGGCGCCAGTCCCTTGCTTACACCAGAACTGGAGTTCTGCTAAACTGTAGTGAGCATATGTATGACCAAAAGGAACAGTAATTAAAGAAAATAATAAAAACCTCCCAAATGCTAGACAACTTTTGGTGTTATGAAAAGACTCTGAGCTCTATAATTTCTATTTTAATGGTTTTAATGTATAAAGTTAGATATATATAAACCAGAAAAACATGAGCTGAAGGCAGAACAAAAGATATCTGGTCAGTGGCTTCACACAACAGAAAAAACACTTCCCCTTGTGTTCTGTGTGTTCACTCCAAAACGACCAGCATCACCTGACACTTACCTCCTTGTGAGTTTTGAAGTTAGTTTACTAAAAAGATTAGTGGAGCCTCGGCTTCGAGTCTGGGACAACGGTGTGGCTTCATGGGACAGGCTGGGAGAGGCAGGGGGGCCGTTATATGTTGCAGTTCGCCTCTCCCGTGGCTGGCCGTGGAAAGTGCTACGACTGGCAGTGCCTCTGGGGAAGCGGACTCGATCCGGGGTGGTGGCACTGCTAATACTGTGTGTTGAAGCAACCGGAGTTCTCTGATCAGGAATAGTGCTGTGGAGATTAGAAAATAAGAGACTTTCACAAACATGGCGTATGAAATTTACAATCACAATATACCTTCCATACACAGTGGAGAAAATCAGGTGAAATCAATCCAGATCCAAGGGGTATTTCACAGAACTTGGGAGTAATAGGTAAGTTAAGTGGGAGAGGGTACCAAAAGAATAGTATACAATGAGACAAAGCCTCATAGAGTTTAAGGGAATAGTACATATATATTTTTAAGGACAAGGTTAATGCAGGGAAATTCTAGGACAGAGATTGGCTAACTCAAGCTTTTTCCCTTTGCTTCCCTCTCAAATTGCTTACACGCAGAGAACCGTGCCAATATGAAAGAAATAAAGGATATGCAGGCAGACTTGAAGAATCAGCAACTAAAAAGCTTTGGAAGCACACAAACCGATATGAATATAAAATTCCACATGCTGAAAGCAACTTGGGGAGGAGCAGGAAGTTCTTACACCTTTGTAGTATGCAAAGGCATGAAGACACACACAGAGGACCGAGAACACCATGAGACAGGATGTACTCAAACTAAAATCACAATGAGGAAGGACACTTTGTAGACAACTGTAACAAAATCTTGGACTATAAAATCCACAGCACAAAATTAAGAAGCAGTGGGTACACATTAGTTTCACAAGGAATGTGCATTTTCTTACACAGCCTTGAAGTTATCTCCTTCACTGTCTATTGGAGGTAACATCATCTTGGGGTGCCCAGAGGCTGACATGGACATCGACTTCTGATGTCTCAGCCGACAGGTAGAAGATGTGGTACAAACTGAGGCAGGGCTAGCTGCGTAAGCGAACATTTCTGTCAGGCTGGGAGGGGGTTTGGGTTCAGGCAGAGGCAGAAACAACAGTTTGATGGAGCAGTGACCACAGAGCAACCTGCTGTGTAATGTACAAACCTTCCTCCCCAAACCATCTCATGTTTTTCAAAGAATAAAACTCTCTTAAATTTGTTTTGGGGATTCTGGAGCAATTGCTAACCTGCAGCTGCTTTTTTTCAAACAGTAATTTTAAAAGTTTATTACATTAAACAAAAGAAAATAGCAGCTTATATGTTTGAATATTTATTTATGTGAGAAGGACGATGTCCTCCAAGCTACGCCTAAAATAAAGCTTATTCTAAGAGATGTCTCAATTCAAGTGTAAGTGGTAAACTGAATACATAACATGAGCTTACTGTGCTCTCAACTTGTTCCCAAAACACACTGACATTTTTTAAATGAACTAATAAGGTTATGGGTATAGAAACTAGTTGTTACATAACAGAGTATCCTATGTTGTTTTAACAATATAGTTTACAATCTTCTTACCCAAAGGACATTTATAAAGAGTCCTTTATCCTTTACAAAGAATAGTCAAAATCCCCAAGGGGTTAACAGAGCCCCTTTTTTCAGGAAGAAAAAACTCATGAGAAAAAAATTAACTGTTTATAGACAGAGAAAGAGTGATGGAGTGGCTGGAAGTCTGCAGTTCCACCTGGCACAGACAGCTACTGGACAAAACTACCCACAGGAGTCTCACCAAGACCACACTATTCCTGAATTCCAGCTCAGTCATCATGTCCTTAGAATTCCAAAGTATAGTTTCTTTCCTTTAAGGAGAAGCAGGGATTTAGAATTCTGATCATATTCTTCCAGTGTCTTTCTGCAGAAATTCTCTCAAAGGATTGAAACCTAGAAACCGGCAGGTTCTTCCCTTCCCTCACTTCCCATGTCCAGACCAACCATGACATCTTGTTGGTGTCAGCTTCCTGACAGCCTTCCAGCTGGCGTGTCCTCTCCACTTCCACTGCAAGGGTCTCAGTGCAGAGCCTCAGGCCTCATCTTCACCGGGCTCCCGCCTCTACCCCCACCCCACCTCCAGTGTATCCACTCAACTGCCGAGAACTTCCCAAAACATACACTGGACCTTGTCGCTCATCTGGTCATAACTTTCTACAGCACACTGAGTCTTCAGGATCAAGTTCAGACTCCTCATCCCGGCATGCAAGTCACACATCCCTGGGCCCCTGCAATCTCTCCAGGCTTTGCCTTCTCTCATTCGTCTTGAAACTTGACTTCCTGGCCCTCCTAATGACATGCAGTCCCTTGGTAAAGCACCAGGTCACGAAACACTTGCAGGAGCTATTCTCTATGCCTGAGGGGCTGGCATCTTTCTACTCACTCTCCAAAATTCAACCAGAGGTCATCTCCTCCATGAAGTCTTCCCTGATGCACCCTCCCACTGAGAGTTAAATCACTTCTTGCTGTGTTTTAGTTCATGCATGCCACATTGTATTGTAGCGACACTTCCCTGCTGGAGCTCCCTGAAACCACAGCTATAATCTTGTCAACGTGCCCCCAGTGTCAGCAGAAAGCCTGATAGAGCAGGTGCTCAGTATATGTTCTTCCAACAGAACAGATTAGTTAATCAAATAGCCACTGGGATTCTGACAGCCCGAACATGAGGGAGATAGGTCTTTAAAATAAATTGCTCAAGAAGTGCTGCTTGGCCCTGCATTTTTGTTTGAGAATTCTGCCCTATGCCTGAGAGAATGGCTCTATTTAGTCAGAGAAGGACTGGAAACAAAGGCCTTCAGGTTTCTTAGTTTGCCACTTAGTGTCCATACTTTTCCTGTGGCAGCAATACTTAAATTTTGCTTTAGGGGAAGCAACTCTAGGTCCCTGGGCTGCAGATGAAGCTGACTCCACCCCAGACTTTTCCCAGCTACCCTGGCCAGTGACAGGTTTAGAGATGCCCAGAGCCAGCACACACAGATCAAGGAGACAACCTCAAGCTTCGGCTCGAGCAAGCCATGTGCAGGAAGAGGTCAGGTCTGACGGTGCTGAGCTCAGCCGTGGAACTACCACAGAGGGAGCAGAACTAAGGAATGGACCTTGACTCTAGCCCTGGACTTTTTTAGTAGTAGGACCTAACAGATGCCCTGTTTTATTTAAGCCTGTTTGGACTGGGTTTTCTGTCACCTGCAACAGAGAGTCCTGATTCAAGTAGTTAAAGACATGTTGCATTGTTCCCAGTACATGTGTACAGACATACAAATATACATATAATGTTAAGGTACAGATACATACAATTGTCTTTTGTGATCTATTATCTTTCAGGGCAGGTCTGGAGTCAACAAAATTTATCCTCCTGCCCAGCTGCTGACATTTTTTTTTTTTTGCACAAATAAGGAGCTCGGGTCAATGGATACACCAAGAAAAACAGGGGAAGAAGGGGAGGCGGGAGTGGTTTAGCTTCTTTCCTGTGAATATAAATGGTCCCGAAGACTCTGGAGAAGGAAAGGATTTTAGTCGGCCCACAGAGCAAGAGGCTGCTCCATCTGTCCCCAGGCAGCTCACTGACAACTGCATCTTGCCTGCGAGGCACATAAGCATGGCAAAGAGGGGATGGACAGATGTCCTGCAGTGAAAATCTGATCCTCGACAAAGCAAGAGACATTTCTAAATAGGAAATGTAAATCGATATTTTCACTATGAATTATTAAATTTTTTGAAATACTAATTTTAAAGGCAAATATTTCTTCAGAAAATTTTATTCATGTTATATCACAAGTTCTACCAAGTAAGCAACAAAACAGATTTGTTTGTCTGACTTCTACAGTAGTCCTACTACCTTGATTCAGGAAACAGTAAACATAGTAACATCTGCTGAATTTCAAGTTTAAACAATCAAACTCACAAAAATTCTATTTACAACAGACAGCCCCAATATCACGAGGGGTTTCATATTCTAAAAGTGCAAGTTGGTTGTTATGAAAGTTTGAACAATATTTTTCTCCCAGAAAAGTGTTCAAAATGATCGTTATATTTCATAGTCTCGCTCACAACAATCTAGCAAAACAGCAGCTGTATTAATTTAAATCTTAATTTAAAGAGATAGCAATGTTTTTCTTAAAATTCAAGTTACATGAGTTGTATTCCTATTAATCTTCCCAATTATTTTGTATTTATAACTGATTATATTTATAGAAACTCTAATTCAGTTAAAGTTACTATAGGACAGGCACTCTGAATTTGTTTGCTAGAACATCTATCCCATTTCAGATCATTTTGATATGAAATGTTTTGGTTGCCAATTAAAAGCATTCTCAGTGATTGCATAAAAGCAGACTTAAAAATGTAGTACAAAAGATACGTGTGCTAACTGCCATCAGTCCTTCTCTGCTCAATCTCCGTGCCTTAATGCAGGGAAAGTGGGTAAGTGGACAAAATAATAAAGTCACTTGACTATTTAAACTTTTGTCAGTGACATCCAATACTTCAAACTTCTTTGAAAATCTACCGTTGTGTTTTACCCTAACACTGTCACTTTACTTCTTTGGGAGGTCTTTAAGCGAATATAGTCTAAATAACCTCATGCAAATATCTAAAAGCATATGAAAAAGTGGGGGCAAAGTGCCCCTGCCATATAGGTTGTTCCGCAACATTAACTTGAGAGATTGGGTATCGTTAGTGTAAACTAAGAAAATTCTTCACTCTTGTCTGAGCAGTCTATAATTAAGAACGAAAGCTAAAATTTGTTGAGCACTGTCTGTCAGGTCTGTGCTCAGTGGTTTAACTCTCTCTGTGACATGACACCATCTTGAGAGAGTCATACCATTAGAGATGTCATCAAACCTTCAGAAGCCTAAGCCTAGTTTATATCAACTGTCAGTCATGGCTGGAATCAGGCCATGTTTTGGAAGCTGATAACAGAAGTAGAACAGTCACGTCAGCAGGACTGCAGCAGAAAGGAGGCTGATCTTCAGCACACCTGGTTTCAAGACGAGTCTTACTCAGAAAACTCTCACAGGTGTTTGTGCCAAAGCAACAACTCGTTAAAAGCTATGCTTCCCTGCCCCCAAGACCAATGATTATTTTTCACACAGTAAAGCTGTGTGAAAAAATTAGCTTGGCATGATGGCACACACCTATAGACCCAGCAAACAGAAAGACTGTACTAGTAAGAATAAATTCATAAAATGAATTTTAAAAAGAAAAAACTATTAAAAATCAATTATATTACCTATGGCAAGAGGCAAAAAATCTACATTTGGTAAGCCTCTAAAATATCATCCTATGTTTGGTGTAAAATTTTGAAGGCAGTTAAGGGCTCACTTAAGGTATGTGGAGCCTTTGGTTCAAACCTTTTCACAGTTTTTATCAGCCATAATCATTCTCATGGTGGAATTCTGTATAAACACTCACATATAGAAGAAAACAGTTCAACACATTTAAGGCTGAAAATGGAACTTAATGTGCTTGTTTCAGAAATTAACATAGGGCCGGGCATCCTGTATCTCACTAGTATTTTCAATTAGTAAAGGAGTAAGATACATAGCTGGGAGAGAAGAGGAGAAAGCAATAATCTGCCTAAGAAGTAATTTCTGCAGAGAAGGCTAACTACATCTAATTGAAGACTCCAGCATCTTTTTTCTTTTCCTTTTTTTTTTAAAATGAGACAGGGTCTCACTCTGTCGCCCCAGCTAGAGAGCAGAGGTGTCATCATACTCACTGCAACCTCAAACTCCTGGGCTCATGTGATCCTTCCACCTCAGCCTTCCGAGTAGCTGGGTCTATAGGTGTGTGCCATCATGCCAAGCTAATTTTTCTATTTTTGGTACAGATGGGGTCTTGCTCTTGCTCAGGCTAGTCTCAAACTCCTGACTTCAAGCCTCCCACCTTGGCCTCCTAAAATACTAGGATTACAGGCATGAGTGACCATGCCTGGCCTTAAGCATCATTTTTAAGGGACAGAAAGTTGTCACACAGGGTGCCTTAGGGGAAAATAAAAAATACAACCACTAGTTCAGCCCTCATACCTAATTAATTTTCCACAGTCTTTCGATTCATTTGTAAGATAGAAAGAAAAAGAAAATCCAGACATTATTACAACTATGGGCCCTGTCTTGTGCAGTTTGGCACTGAGGCTCTGTTTAGCAAAAGATAAAGACAAAACCTTCAAAAGCAAAGTATTTCAATGATTTACGGTAAGAGAAGCAATGGGGCCCAGGTCAGGATCTGGAGGAGTCAGCCCTAATAAGGAAGGTGTCTGCAGCAGGCGGAACATAGAAAGGAAATGACTCCAAAGAAATTTTAAAAAGTCTTAAAAACTATTTTCAAAGAGTGAAACGGGTAATCCTAGGAAAGGAGAATTAGAAGAGCACAGGCATGACGTGCAGACCCACAGAGAGAGGATGGGGAGCAGGGAGCAGACTGTGGTCTCAACACCTATAAAAAGTCTGACTCTGCAACTCACAGAGCCACATATCCTGAAGTTCAGAAGGAGCCTGATAGAGCAGTTCAACAATTTAGAAGTATTTGTAAAAACAAGCAAAGTCAGGAAACAACAGCTTTCTAGTCCTGTAGACTGAAATCCACAATGTTAGAAACTTCTAATTAAATCTTCTACAGATATCGTTTATGTCATTTTTGAACTAGAAGGTATTTGATAGAGAAGAGAACTGTAATAAAAGAAAATCTACCAGAGAATAAACTACTATTAAGAAATAATTATACAATCACTATCTGTAAACTGTCTAGCCCAGCTGCTATACTCAATTAAGTTCTGAATAGTTTTTAACCATAAGGAAAAAGATAATGTTAAAACACATAGGAGTTAGAAAAGAGAACACTGGAATGTCAATATAGCTAAAATTCACTGAATAATAAATATATTCTTATACAACAAGCTTTACTCCCCATAACAGTTCAAAATTAAGTGGTCTATGAATAGGGAAATGAGAAATAGTTTGATTTTAGAAAGGAAGGAGGAAAGAAGAATCCTTGCTTAGGCTGTCGCATTAGTGAGTGATCAAACATTTCGTTTGGCTAGAGAGATCAAATATAAGATTAAGATGAAGGAAACAGAAACCTTACAATATAATTTCAGAAAGTAAATGTCAGAAGAAAATAAAGAAACAGTTTTGATGCTAGACATGACAAAACAATGTTCAAATTAGGAGGACGATGTAGGCTTATTTTTATAGATTTTTATTCCAGGATTCATGTAGACTTTTCTCTCTTTATTTCTATCTTTGAATTTAGTTCATACAAGACTCTTCTGGAAAGAAGGAAAAGCCATGCCAGCCTGGGAAATTTGTTCTATACAGAATAAACTATATTTAACCACTCTCTACCAACTTGACTTCTCTTTTTTCTCTCCCCCCAAACTAACCCTACCTTCATGGTCTCTGAACCTACCTAATCCTACTTTGTTGACTCTATTAATAACCCCAAGAAAGCTGTCTCCCCATATGATGCTCTCTTTATTGACATATTACTTTATTAGTATTTTAAATCATTCTATGTATTCATTCTATGTATTCTTGCCCCTCAACCAGATTACAAACATTCAGAAGACTGGACTCCCCATTTCTCTCGGATGTTCAAGCGTATCTCTAAGGCAGAGACTGTGAGCACTCACTCTCTCTAGTTTGTTCTCTACGTCTTCCAGGGGTGGCTCTTGCCTCAGGTCCTCATCCTACTCCCCCACCCCTCGGCCTTTCTTCAAGTTATTAATGTGCACAAAATAATCTCCATTTCCCTCCCTATTCACAGTTCTACAATGAAACCATGGCTTACTTACTAGCTACCTCCCCTAGGAAATCTTGCTGGTTTGACTCAATACTTTTAATCATTATACACAGCCAGCCAGGAGGATGGTGCTCTAGACAACAAGAAGAATTTGGAATCCTAGTATCTTGCTAAAAATCAGCACTCAAATTTAACTTACCTTCAGAAAATACTTACTGTTGTTATTTGAATTTTGATTAAAAAACTGAGAAATAAATAACATGCTTCCATTTCTCTTGGGGAAAAACAAATTTTCTTGCAAACAGGTAAAATTTCATACCTGTTTTCTTTGCCATTTTGAATCACTGAGTGTCTATCAGCTGTAGTTCTCTCACTGCAAACATACGTATTTCGCCGTGTCATTCCACCAGATGCTGTGTTACTCTATAAAAAAGGACATTTTTGTCTTAAACAATTTGGTAAGAATAGTACAATAAGAAAAAAAAGAACTCATCTACATAAATAGGAGTACTCAGTCTTTAAATTAAACTATGCTAAAATATCCACAGCAATGACCAAAAGATCAGAAAAGGGAGTGAGGACAGCAACCTCTACTCTCTCTTCTGGTAGGAAAAAACATGAAAAACAGCTAAGGTAGGGTGACTATAATAATGGTTTATAATTATAAGTAAAGTAATAATTCACAGACTACTTAAATAAAATTAAGACTACAGAGTAAGCCACCATTTTTAAAAGCAAATACATTCAAAATTAAAAAGGATTATAAATATAAGATAAATATATAAATAATAAAAATTAATAATATAAAACATCAGCAAGATGTTGGATTTGAAAACAGATTCATAGATACGACACCAAAAGCATGAGCAATAAGAGAAAAAATACAGTGGACTTCGTCAACGTGAGAAACTTGTGCATCAAAGGCCATTATCAAGAAAGTGAAAAGAAAATCTACACAACGAGAAAATATCTGCAAATCATATATCTGATTAGGGTCTAGTATCCAGAATAGATACAGAATTCTTACAACTCAACCACAAAACGAAAACTCAATTTAAAAATGGGCAACTTGAGTGTTAAATGAAGGCACCACTGTAATCTGCTCTGTTAACGCAAATGATAACATGGTATACTGATGAGCTAGGACACCTGTGATAACTTTAATTAAGTCTCCTTCAGAACTGTTGCTTCTGGTGCAATAACGTGTGGAAGAACATTGAAAGAAAAAGGCAACTAGAAGAGATGCTTCTCTAAAGAAGTTATACAAATGGCCAATAAGCACATGAAAACATGCTCAATATCACTGGTCATTAAAGAAATGCAAATCAGGGCAGGCGCGGTGGCTCAAGCCTGTAATCCTAGCATTCTGGGAGGCCAAGACGGGCGGATCATTTGAGCTCAGGAATTCGAGACCAGCCTGAGCAAGAGCGAGACTCCATCTCTACTAAAAAAAAAAAAATAGAAAGAAATCAGCTGGACAACTAAAAATATATATAGAAAAATTAGCCGGGGATGGTGGCACATGCCTGTAGTCCCAGCTACTTGGGAGGCTGAGGCAGTAGGATCACTTGAGCCCAGGAGTTTGAGGTTGCTGTGAGCTGACGCCATGGCTGCCACGGCACTCTAGCCGGGGCAAGAGAGTGACAACTCTGTCTCAAAAAAGAAATGCAAATCAAAATCACAAGATACCACTTCACACTCACTAGGACAGCTGTTTTTTTTTTAAAAAATGTGTTGGCATGGCCAGGTATGGTGGCTCACGTCTATAATCCCAGCACTTTGGGAGGCTGAGGTGGGAGGACTGCTTGAGGCCAGGAGTTTGAGACCAGCCCAAGTACGAGCAAGACCCCATCTCTACAGAAAATAAAAAATAAAAACATAAAAAAAAGTGTTGGCAAGGATGTGGAGAAATAGGGACTTTAATATATTGCTGGAAGGAACGAAAAATGGGGCACTTGCTGTGGAAAACAGTCTGGCTGTTCCTCAAAAGGTTAAACATGGACCAGCCTGAGCAAGAGCAAGACCCCGTCTCTACTAAAAATAGAAAGAAATTAATCGGACAATTAAAAATATATAGAAAAAATTAGCCGGGCGTAGTAGCACATGCCTGTAATCCCAGCTACTCGGGAGGCTGAGGCAGGAGGATCACTTGAGCCCAGGAGTTTGAGGTTGCTGTGAGCTAGGCTGACGCCACGGC